TAAATGTATTGAAAAATATTTTTTTCTTATTATGAGTGTAATGACATGTGCTCTATATATGCTTTAAGATTACGATTTTTAATTATTTTATAATGTTATCATTTTTTAATGTATTTTTTACTATTTTTTAATTTTATATAATATATATATATATATATATATATACTTGAAATATATTTAAGCCTACCAAGATATAATATAAATAGAGTGAGAAAAAAAACGTGAGAGATATTAGTAGGGTGTCTGTAGTGTTGGAAAAAAAATATATTACACTCGATTCTTAAGAGTTTAACCAAAAGAATTCAACTTGATTAAACATTTTATATAATTTATGAATAAAAAAATATAAAAGTGTATATATAGTGAGAAATTCAACTATAAAATGATTGTCAAAGTTAAAGATTAGATAATGATTTACGTATCATTTATATAAAAAAAAATACATGCATTTTTCTCAATCTTAATCATCAAATATTATACATTATTCCAACTTTACGTAATAACAAGAGTTAATACATGATTAAAAACCAAAAGTACTTATATCGTCACTTCCACACATGTGCGAAAAGTTTACAGACATAGATAATGCTCTACAGGCTATAGCCCTTTCCTTGAGGTCAAGTGTGATGAAGATGTTGTGGGCAAAGCAAAGAGCAGAAGAGTCCAAAAACTCAATTATTTGGCAAACACGTACGCATTCTGCATTCTTCATTCTGCTGCTGCAACGCCATCTAGAAACGTCTTTAGATTCCTCTCCGAAGAGCCACCTTCCTTGGCAGCATCCCTAGCCAAAGCCTTCCATTTCTTTGCATTGTTTCTGAACTCATTTCCCTTGTCTCCACTCCCCATCACCACATCCAAACATCTCTTAATCTCCTTTCCTTCCACAAACCCATCATCTTCATTCACTTGATGATCCACCCTCACCCCTACCTTCCACACATCCTCTATCATCTTCGCATTAGTCATCTGATCCGACCACTGAGGAAACGCCACCATTGGAACCCCACTAACAAGCCCCTCCATGGTCGAGTTCCAACCACAGTGCGTCACAAAACAACCCACAGAAACATGCGACAGAACCTCCACCTGAGAACACCACGTCACTATCTTCCCCCTCACTTCCAACTCCTCTCCACAACTTAACTCCACTTCCTCTTCCTTTCCATCTACTACTTTTTTTCTAATCACCCACAAAAACGGGTGTCCACAACCTAACAACGCAACTGCAATCTCCTCCATTTGTCTCTTAGATAACTCCCAGTAGCTTCCAAACGACACGTACACCACCGAATTCTCTTGCTTCGAGTCAAGCCACTCTACGTAATCACTTGCAACTGGAAAAATGTCAGCACCGAAGGAAGTATCACGAGGGTCCTTCCCGTCCAAGAAGGCGGAAGGAATCAACGGCCCGATGGGGATCATGTTGAGCTTATCAACGCCCCTCAGTGCCTCTTCTTCCAATTCTTCAAAGGTGTTCACGAGTACTATAGGGTTGGGTTCTAGCTCTAGCTGGTGAATCTGCTCTTCAAACAAGGGAAAAACAAAAGACGATAAACCCGGTTCCCGCTGCAATAAAAAAGGGGGTATGTCACGCGGTGAGAGAGAGAAAGAGAACCCCGGAAGCAGTATGGCGTTGGTTTTACTTTTACTTTTGTGGTTGATATGATCGGCGTAACCGTTGAAGTAGTGGTAGAAGATGTTCAACACGGTGGCGGGTTGGATCCAGAGCATGGCGGTTGGGAGGTTGAAGCGATGCGCGAGCTGTGGGGCCCAGGGGACGAGCAAGGTGTAGAGGAAGCAAGTGAAGGGGTTACCCTCTTTGGCGCTTGAGAGTATGAGATGGGAGATGAAGTCAGAGGCGCGTTGCTGGAGTAGGGTGGCGTAGAGGGTTAAAACTGAGTCGGCGGCGCCACCCACGGGGTTTAAGCCGTCGTCGTGGCCGTCGGAGAAGGGGGCGAGGGAGAGGCCGGGGATGGAGGTTTTGTTGGCGATGCGGCGGTGGAGGTGGAGAGTGATGGGGAGAGTGACACGTGCACCCATGGAAATGACTCGCTTGGCGAACTGAAGAGCGGGGTTTATTTGGCCCTGTGCTGGGAAGATTACAAGGAGGATGCGATGTTCCGACATGGTTTCAAATTCAACACAATTATGGTCGTCTTTGTATCATCTCCATTCACACATTATATCCTACATGGAAAGAAAATGTATCTTGGTACCAAAACAATTTCAGCCACAAATATTCTTTTATATATTTATTTTGAAAAGTCATTGTTCCATGTTTTTATTTTATTCTAAACCCTAAAGACCTAAAGAGACAATTCTGGAACTGTTGTAAGGGAAATATTGGGACAACTCATTATATTATTTTCTTTTTCTGTTGCTGGGCACACTATGATAATAACAGCTGTCGCAACCCGAAAATTTTCGATCATGCGATCTATGGTTTAGACATCCTTTTAAAAGTCTCATTAATATTTAAGGAATGTCTGGACACCAGACTAATTCTTAATCAATGGTTTTGAAAATAGGTTAATGGAGTCGCCACCAATATTTTACTCAAAACATTGGAAAAATAAAAGGTTTTTAAAGATCCAATAATGGCCTTGATAACCAGAATTGGGTTCGGGGGTCGGTTACGTGTAGGGAAGGTATTAAGCACCCCTACAACGCCCTCAATCGGTACCCTATGATGAAGTTAATATGATAAAAATTAATAAATTAAATATTGAATCCCCTTTATTAATATTTATTTACATATTTAAAATATAAATTAAACGATTAACCCTAAAATATCTACATTATGAAGTTTGTTATAACAAAAAAAGAGATAAAGATGAATAATAAAAGAGAGAGAAAAAGATTGACTGAAATACCTCTTGAACGAGCTTTATTGAATCTTCAAATATGGAGAAGGTGCTTTGTGGCGACCTTTCACACTACAATATGCCTCACAGATCTCAAGAAATACAATAGGAGGGAGAGAGAAGATAGAGATGCGACACAAATCTCAAGAAATACAATAGAAGGGAGAGAGATAGAGAATTTTCGTGCTCAAAGGAGTCTTATTCGAAATTTCTCTGGCCGCCTAGAGAACTGTGCCCGAGGCTTCAATTTATAGGCATCAGATGTGGGCCGAAACGGCTCGTTCTGGATTCGGAACGGCCCGTTCCGGATCTGAACGTTATGTTCAAATTTAGCCCCCTGGAACGGCCCATTCTGATAACGGAACGGCCTGTTCCGGTATTGGAACGGCCCGTTCCGGTATTAGAACGGCCCGTTCCGGTATTGCATTTTTAGGTGTTTTAGCCACCTTGGAACGACCCGTTCTGATATTGGAACGGCCCGTTCCGAGGTTTGGAACGGCCCGTTCCGATTCTGGAACAGCCCGTTCTGGGATACTAAAACAACCTTATTTGACCTTTAGGCCTTCTGATATCCTGTCTTGTTATTTGCCTGCTTCGGGAGCTCCTTTCCTTCATGATGCAGGTCCATTTTCTTGTTTGTGTGCCCCCCGAACGAAATTGGGTGTCTACAACAGCATCTTTAATTGGGGTATGTAATATACTCTCCATTTTGGTATCTTATTTTATTTTTAGTGGGTTCCACAATGTGACAATATCTAACACATAATTTTGAGTCAAACAAATATTTTATGAGCTATCTTTAAAAAACTCACACTTTTATACTTTTTATTTACACTTAATTTTGAGTCAAATTAAAATATTAATTATTTATTCATTTCAATTTTGAATCAAATTAAAATTATAAATTCAATTACATAATAATATGTTATAGGTTAAATTCCTTTAATAGGAATACTTTTACTTTTTAACTTAAAATATTTTACTTTAATTATTTAAGTTCTTAATTTTAATTTTTAATTTTTTTTACCTTTAGCATGTGTTTTCTTCTCAGCCTCATTTTGTCCTCTCTAAAAAGAAAATTTTCTAAAACTTTCTCTCTTACTATCGTCAATGGTATGTTTCTCTTCAATATGGTTTGATGGAGCTTCTACTCATGAGGGTTGTGCTTGCTGATTCGAATCACGACAAGGGAAGAGGTCCACCACACTTTGGATCTCATTGATGAGGGTTAACTATGATTACGACATATTTGTTTTCAGTGACTCGATAGATATTTGCGGTGGATCCATGTGGAAGAGAGGCTTCCCAGTATATTACAACATTCTGTTTACTAATTGTATTTTAGTTTCATATTCTTTTATTAGTTAGTATAACCTGTTTAGCAGGTAGCCTAGGCAGTTTCTGTTTAGTTTCTCATTCTGTTATATATTTGTACAGTTCTAATTTTCGGTGGTTACATTCAGAAATATTATTGCATTCAGTTTTTGTTTTCTTCTCAATCTCCTTTCTTTTCCTCTCTATTTTCCAATCACTCTCAGCCATTGATAAAACTATGATATGGTATCAGAAGATTTTTTTCACTTCCGCATAATCTGACTCTAATTTTTTCATGCGATCACCATGGCCGATGCCTCCACGAGTCAAATTGATCAACATGATCCCCTTTTCATTCACTATGCTGATCATCCAAGTCAATGCCTCGTGTCCACACCTTTGAACGGCGACAACTTCGGATCTTGGAGACGTGCTGTTGTTATCGCACTTAAATCCAAGAACAAGATGGGTTTTGTTGATGGTTTAATTCCGAAACCAACTGATTCAACTAAACTTTGTAATATCCCAAAATTTTATTCAAATGAAAAGAG